CCTGGCCATTTTTTGGTTGCAGCCATCATTGTTGTTTGGCGGGCCCGGGCTGGGGATTCGAATCCGCCACCTTAGGTGTACGTGGCTGGTGCCTTAGCCGATTGAGCTATAGGCGCCGAGCCTCAATTAATTTTCTTAATGAAATAATCACACATGTATGTAAAGATTTATGCTCGAGGATGTTCTCTATAGTATTACAATACTAACAAGCTGAAAACAAACTATATGTCCCATAATAGGGAGTGGAACAAACAGATACTGATTTATTCACCTGATGGGATTCTAAAAAATAAAATGTTCAAAGAATATTTAGTGATGTGAAAATATATCTACAATCTAATGTCTAATGAAAAGAAAACCAAGGTAAAGAAGAGTGAGATCCAGATTGTGTTAAAAAATTTACATTTATATACATAGGAACATAAATGACTAAAAAACATTAAAACTTCAATAGCAATTTTTACCACATGGTGTAATTATGGCTGATTTGTTCTCACTTATGTTTAGCTTTTCTCAATTATTGACATTATTTTTATAACTGATTATAACATTGTTCTTATAATTAGTTATGAAAATTTCCATGTGGACACAAACACTTTCCTTAATTATCATTTCTGTACTATCTGCTTTTATTCACCAACATTTCTCCTTGGCCATTCCTACCCAGTTTTGTTGCTTCCTATATTGTTATATAAGAAGACCACAATACTACCTTACAGTATATATACCTTCAGCTATGCCTTCAGATACCCATAGAAAACAAGAAGGATGAAAAGGAAAGCAAAATACACTATTTTACCTCTATAGATTTAATGTGCCATATGTCTCCCTCAAGAGCATGTTTTCTCTTAGATCTGTTTTTTAGAAATAAACTATCAATTAATGGGGAGCCTTAGTTTTGTACTCTCAACAGATCTTAGCTAAATTTCATAATGGTATAATTACAGAGGTTATTATGATTTTCAACTCAATTTTATTTGAAAGCAGAAACCAATTAAGTGTGAGACAACTTTAAAAAGAAATGTTTTAGGCT